ATGACGTAATAATTTATTATAAGAGCTCTAAATATCTTTCTTCAAAACAATGCCTATAAACTATGTCAAAATTTATGCAATAAGCGATGTTGATCGATCGCAGGCATCATTGATCTCTTGATAACATATGATATACGATGGCAGGTGATCTTTGAGAGATGTTACTTTATAAAGCGTGATCTAATTTCTCGTCGTTGGTATGCAAAAAGAAGTCAGACGATGAAAGCGCGGCACAGATCGCCATTTATTCAACCGTAATATTTTACGCGCGACACCTTATTCACATTTACCATTCAGCTATTCATTCAGATTCAGCCTTTCATCGTAAATTCCAACTTAAAGCGATCATCATTCGACTCTCCCGAGCACAATCCTGATCGACCAATACACTTTATATCCTCGACGGTTATTCGATTCTCACCTTCAACCTCTGACTTTATTGTAGAACCGCTATGCGGCATTTTAGGATGTTCTACAGTTGTTCTATTTCTCTGTGTACAGTTATGTTTCCCGCGTGTCCGATTCAAAAAGCCTGACACCAACCGATATTTATAAACGCGATGAATTCACGAAGCGCTCTTATCTCATCCAAATGATTTATTGTATTTATGCTATCTTAATTCATGGTACTTCTCGAGCAAGCTTCTACTATCAGGAATAATCATCAGTTTTCGAATAAAATGGAGAATTATATAATTTTGCAAAGAGACGACCGAGACGCTCATTGTACCGAGATGATGAATAATGAAAATAACGTTCTTTGCATGCGCAATTAAAATACAAAAGTCACACGTGAAACGAGGATAGACTCTCATAAACGTCGAAACATTCGCGCGAATTAGGACGCGTTAATCTGTTAAATTAGGCGATGTGTGGGAAAGGGCAGCGGGCGGGCAACATGGGTAATGAATTTTCGGAGGAAGAATAGGAATTCGGTAGCACGGGGAGTACCGTAAACCGTCGTGAAAAAGATGGCTATCGCCCGTCGTCTGCGACCGACTAGCGGAGATGCGGAGGACGAGATGCGGATTCGGCACGAGAGAGCGTAAATAAAGTTCACGATCGGCGCACGGGACGCGGATGGTAGAGGCCGCCGAGTATTCTAACGGGGCAACGTCACGGCATGTTAACGTTCTACCATCGCGGAGGGGCTACCCTTTCCGCGATGCTACGTCAGTCCGGAGATATCGCGGATTCGCGCATCGTTTCCGCGGCACGGTTTCGCCAAATGATCGATTCGATTCGATTAAGCAGAGCGACTTATCTTACTGTTGCATATGACTAATAAAATTACCTATCACTTTTTAATATATTTTAATATTTCTATTTTTAATATTTTAATATCTTTTTGAATATTTAAATAAGTAAATATTTAAATATTTTTCTTAATTATCTTAATATTTAAATATTTTTCTTAGTTTCTTTTATCGATAGTATAAATAAATAATAGTTTCGTTTTTAAAATTTGCCAACTTTTTAAAATGCTTCATCGATGAGATACAATAAAGAACCTATAAATTATCTGAAAAAAGATTTTTAAAGACCCTACTCGTCGTAAAATAGGACCATTGACTGATAATGAGACAGAAGTACTTCAGACTTAATTTATCACAATGTCGGCAAATATGTAATAAATGCGGAGTGGAAAATTCGCGGAATGCGGCGGACGAAGGAAACAACATCACGAAACGCAGTAAGTCGCGGTAAGAATGCGACATTTATAGGCGAGCCGTCGGGGGAGCCACGAGGGAATCTCATACAAGGATATAGTCGTGCGAAATTTTTCAGCTGTCCGAAAGGACAGCTACTCCTGGCACGTTCAGTTATATACCGCGAAAGCTATATAACGTCTCCTTCGCCGCGCGCTCGTAAAAATCGCGCGTATTGTGTTTGGTTGCAAGCGGAAAGATGCGCTCGTCTCCGTCGGCATTGTCTTAGAATATCGTCCGCTGCATTTTCTTTCTACCTTAGAAATACCTGCGATCTGCGCCTGTCGTTTGAAACAAGAGGGAGATACAAAGAATATTGTATGCGCGACTATTAATTTATAGAAATCAATTTTATCATATTCGATGTTAAACTTTTTGTTTCTTTGAGAGACATTATTTTAAGTGTAGCATCTCAATTTTTATGCATGTATGTACAACGCGTGCATATATCTAGTGCTCGATTCTGAAAAAATTCTGAATTTTAATTAATAAATTCTGAAATTTAATTCTGAATTTTAATTAATAAATATCAATCTTTCTCGGTTTCTTTGTGAACCTATTCTATTCTCTACTCTCAACTTCCAATCATAAGATATGACACGAAAAGTCATGCAAATTGAAGATGCATGTAAAATTTGGGAGAATTTTTTGTGAACTGTCAAAATTGCTGTCATACTTATATTGCTATAAAAATTTTAATCGTCATATAATTACGGTTACTAACGAATCAATTACGCTTCTTCAAGATGAGCTGCAAAAAAGTTATTAAATCCCTAGAAATAATTTCGAATGTTTTTTTCCACGAGCGCAAATATACATATTCGATGATTTCGGAGCTATAAAATGATCGTTAATCCAGATGGGTTAAAAATTTAGAACGTAGCGCAAAAAGCGACGGCTTTCCCACGTTTTAAAGCCCGTAAATCACGACGATAATCAGGCGCGTATTCCCATAACGCGGGACGGTCGCAATAACCATCTCTCGCGGAGGTTGATCACCCGCGGAGGGAAATTATTATAGGTAAATAACTATTTTCACCTCGGCGATGCGGCTACCGACGCAGCCATGAAAAATCCCGATCGCGCGCAATGAAAATTCTCAGCGCATTCCGTAACTTTGCACGCGCACGCACACAGATACGCACGCGATATCGCTCGTGCACGCATGTGTATAACGAGCGCAGCCATAAGTAAAAGCACGCATGATGAACCACCGATCGTGTCTCGGGATTTATAGCGTCGCGAACGTTCAGTGATAGCGAGTCGTGAAAAACAGATGACAAGTTCTGCTCTTTTTTTCGAACAATTAAAAAAATTAATCTATGATATTCATCATAGATTCAAAAAGGAACTGCTGTTTTATTCGAGTAATGTAAATAATATTTTAAAACGTAATTGACATTATACGTTCGTCTAGTCTATTAATCCCAATCGACATACCTCTCAGATAAATACAATATTAATTTAATTAATTAAATGTGAAAACATCGCGGATTAATGGCTCGAAAGTAGGTCAACGTCACGCTAGGTAGTCGAAAACTAATCGTGGCGAACCCGGGGCGATGTTTGTAACTATCACCTGTTTCCCACAGATACGACACATGTGCAGATACGTCACATGTAATGAAGATACGAATGGAAATAGGATGTGCAATCTGATTGCCATGTCAACGTGCACATGTCACGTGCAAACACGTGGTTCCATCAAAATTGAACATTCACGTTCTATTCTTTTTATTGTAATTATGCTTAAAGGAATGCAACATCGGATATGTATTAAAGTTTAATTTTCTTAACTTTAAAATTAATTTTTTCGAATTTATTACAAAAAAATAACCAATTGTTGCATTGATTTTTTCATAAACAATTTTCTTTGTTAGAAAAAATAAATTCATTATAAGTAATTAAAAAACATTATAATTACTTATAATGAATTTATTTTTTCTAACAATTTATATAATAAATTTATTATATAATATATTATATAATAAATTTATTATAAGTAATTTTAAGATATTTCGGATCGATCATATTATATTTAATAAAATTTATTTTCGAAATATATCTTTTCACGTTAAAAATGTTATGGTATCGATAGAATTCATAAAAGAACATTTAAAATTAAAACTCATTATATTTATACGTACAAATAAATAGAGAAACGTTCTGTCTCTTTATTTGAAGATAAATTAAAATACATATATAAAGATAGCGATTAAAATTCGCGTTCACCGCTGCGATAAATCACTGTGACGAAGTTTATCTTGACACGCGCACGAATATAACTGACAATTTGTCTATTTGCATTATTCCAGTTAAATGCCATGCGTATATGGTATAGCGTGATAATTACATGTCGCGTTATTTCAATGCGCATTACTCATGCACACTCGCGACCGTGAACGACACGCGCATAATTTAAATTCCGAGCTTTAAAGCGCGCGCGCGCGCTTTAATCCTTTCACTATCTCGAAACATCTAGCATTAATATACATTTCAGATTGAAATGCAATAATTTTTATGAAGGAAGTATTAGTGTCATCGATTTTTGAGGATCATAAATTCTGTGTCCACCGATATGTGAAATAAATTAATCAAAATCGATAAAAAGAAGTTTAATACATATATTTCAAATTTAATAATAAAATCTGTAATCAATTAATAATTCGCGCAATGGAATTTTTAATGCTATCTTTATTGAAAATTCTTAACGTTTTAAATTAAATTGAAATTAAGCATAAAGTAATGTCATTTTATGCGCATATCGAAATTTGATCAGCCAAAATTTTCCCGAAACATTTATACACATTACGACAAATGTAAACATTACATGTTAACGTTCTCAATCATTGCGTTTCAATTTATTTTCTTTCTATATGAATAATCATTCTATTCACAAGAGATACTTAAATTTCAATAACAAAATCTGTAATAAATTATCAATTTGCGTAGAAGATTTTTTAATGATTATCTTCATTGAAAAAATTCTGAATTAAATTTAAATGAAACATAATGCGCGCCAATGTTCTTTTATGAACTCGTACATACTTTGTCGAGAATTTGATCAGCCAAACCTTTCGCGACAAATGTAAACATTAACATGTTGACATCTCAAAATCACCGACGTCTTCAATTATTACGGTTCAATCCATTTTTTTCTCTGTATAGTCATTCTATCACGAGAAATACTTCATATTAATCCTTAAGGTTAGATTCTTTTGCGTGAAGTCTGCTTCAAACGCTTGGCCGATCGAGCATCTCTGACGGTTAAAACACAAAATCGACACTCACCGATAAATCCGCGTCGTTGCTCCCTTTCCCACGACGCCGCCGGGTTGTCTCTCTCCTTCTCTCTCTTCCTCTCCTCAATCCCGACACAATCGAATCTGCGAACCCAGGTCGGCGACTGGCACGGGAGATCACTGTGCGCGGTGCGCACCGTTCAGTAGAGTAGAACGGTATATAATAATGCACTTTGTTCGCGCTCTCGATCTCTCGGACGTACGATGGACGGGTAACAAACGCGACGACGGATACGTCATACACTGTCACGATCACTCTTTCGTCGAACGCGACGTTAAATTATTTCGGACGCGCGCGTTCGCGGCCACCTGTCGAACTCCGGCCGCGTGTTTACATCGCACGGCCCGGGAAGGGGAGGGGGACGGCGAAGGGTAGAGTGCGCGAATACGTGGCCGACCGTTACCGCTCCACTTGTGCCGCCTCGGCGTCTCGCGAGCGAGTGCGGGCCGCGCGCGCTCGCCGCGACATAGAATCTAGGGACGCCGGCGCGGCGGGGCGCGGGACGACGCGGTGGGGAGGGGGACTGGAGGGAGGAATAGTGCCATGTGCCGTGCCGCTCGTTTACCTCCGTCGGAGAACGGTACATCTTTTTCCATTTCGCTCTTCTCCGCGTACCCTTTTCGTCCCCTCGAGGCTTCCGCGAGTCTTCCGCGCCGTGGCTTTTCAAGGGAAATGCAAGGACGACTCTCTTCCGCGAGAAATGAGACTGATAAATGACGATCGCGCCCCGAAGATTCGAACATGGAACATCGACAATTGAGATTGAGCGTCGTACACTTCGAACTTGGCCGATTGCGACAAAGATTAGAATTATATAGATTGGAATTTAGAGCTATATTTTCGATTTCATATCAGCCAATGACCTCGATTTTTAGTCACGTAATAGAAAAACTAAAGATTGTTATAAACTGTGCATGTTCGTCTATGTATTGCTATATATGTAATGACAGTTGTATTAGCCATGCTGAAAATAAAATATAATTAAAAAAGAGAAAATATATTTAATATCTGACAAATATATGCGCATATATATGTATATTTAATGCACATTTTTTATTTCGAAATCTTTATCCCATCTCTGTACATGTATATTAAATAAAAAGAAAATGAATAAACAAAAATTCTTTTCGTGTAACGTTATTCTTTTTACCTGGCGAAACTGAGTGATTCTTCATCCAGTCCAATTATTTTTTTAACTCGATTTTTCTGATTTTTCAACTACAATTAAGATATAGTTTCACAGCAGAATCTTTCCGCGCTTTGATAGATATTTTTTTCAGTTTAAATCGCACAAAATTTTGACATAATAATACGATACAAGAACACTTGGCTATGCATTATTCGAACGGAAAGATTGTTCGTGTCGGGTTTCAATGAATGATTATAAAATTGTGATACCCCGAGCATCGCATATGCCCTGTTTTTTTGTCGATGCATTTAGCCGGACTTACAATTAATCACGATTGGTCTGAACGATTGGTCTGAACGGGAAACTATCCGGATGAACCACCGCGATACAAACAACCGGTTGCGCGATTATTAGGGTCAACATATGTATATAAGAATATAAGAATAAAAGAAGCAAGAATAAGATACCGATATTATCGACAATGAGATAATGAATGAAGCATAATGTAAAATTTGAAAATTTGAAACAGAAAATAAATTGATGACTTAAGTTTTTAAAAATTAAAGCTTATTAAAGTTTCAATTATACTTTAATTAGATAAAGATAATTATCATTAACTTTTCAAAAATTTCGCGCGATTATGTAAAAGCTTATATAAAATTTATATTTTAATTCATAATTAATTCATTATTTTATGAGTCGTTAATTAGAAAATTATATAAATCGCATATAAGATACATATGTAATCATTAGTCACGGATGTTCACGTATAAACATGTTATTATAACAAAGCTGCGTCATCTGGCGTTGTCTAACTTGAATTGCTTCGCTAAATCGGGAAATGATAATTACATTACCATTGATCCTCGCTTCTCATTCTAATTCAATCGGTCATGTGGAAATAACTCATAAATAAATTATAAAACTTGTAAATAAATATCATAAGTCTTATAAACTTACATAAAGGAAAAATATGATATTCCTATTGGATCTATTGATACTTTTACGCAATAATGAATCAATAAACATATAAATACAACACATTGATATGCATAAAACTCAAAATATTGAATTTCCAAAAGAAACGATTGCAATCATTGAAATACAACTTTCACTATGTAATATAAGAAAAAAAAAAACGCGAATTCAAACATGAAATATTTTGTTGAACAATATATGTATATTTATTTTATAATTATTCAAAATAAAAAACATTTCAGGAATTTATCTATTTATATTTATTTACTTTTCCTGCCAAGATGTTTTTTCCTAAAATTTATTTTTATATAATATCTTCTGTTTTTTCTACAGAAGAAAATGCAATTATAAACATCTGTTATATGTATTCTATTATTGTGCATATTTTTTAAGTTATAAAATATTCATTGAATGAAATGTTACACTGAATAATGGACAATGTATATTTCATTTGCAATTTCACACACTATATACAAATCTATAATAAATATTGTTAAATTACTTATGCGGTGGCCATGTCCACTGATTAGGTGGAGCTTCCTGTATTAATTTTTCCCATGGTTTCCACACTAATATCTTTTCTGACAGCGACATCTCGTTCTTTGCTTGTATTATAAGTTCCTCTACCTGTCCACAGCCTATCTTTTTTTCTATAGCTTGTACATCAGCATTCTGTAAAATATGTTTAATCAAGAAGGATACATAGTATATCGATATAAATTGTTGTTTCTTTAAAGTCCTAGCATCACCTCCTTCACGATTTTTAATCTATCTTTGACAAGCTTTTCTGTTTCTTTCCGATAAGTGTATTCCTTTGGCATCTTATCTAACATTCGCAAAATTCTATTGTACAATGGAGTTAATTCTATATGAGGCTGTGCGCTAACAGCCAATCCCTTTATATTCGTAGACTGCAAACAAGAAACAGTAAAATTAATAAAGTAAATACTAAATTAATTTTGCAACAAAATAATATATATCAAGAAATCGTTAAATATAGTGTAAATTCACATTATGATAAATGACATTCTAATTAAATGTATTCATTACTGAGTTTATAAACAAACTTTACCTTTTTAACAGCACCTGCCATTGCCACAGATATTACCTAACACTTGATGTGAAAACTCTCCTATCTACATCCAGAGAGAGAACTGAGAGATGTCATGGCCTGCTTTTAGGTGATTTCTGAAAGGGATACTCCCTCTATGGACATTAAAAACGTGAACTACAAAGCTAATGTCCATGAATGTTCTCAGAGGGTAATATATAATGTGCACAATATTCAATCGCGAAAGATACTGTAATATTCAAAGATAAAATAAATATTTTTCTATATTCACTGTCATATTTATATCTTTTTATTTTTCAAAACATTAAATGCCTTGCCATTAAAAAAGGAAGTCATGAAATTTTTCAATCTTCTCTCTGCTACTCCGCCAGTTTTCTAACCTTAAAATATCATCCGATTGTCGTTATTCAGCATCATCCAAGAGAAAGATTGTGCACTATTATAGTGACACATTCTAATAATTTAATGAATATATATTTTTGTATTTTGTTAAAAAAGGATAATTTCTTATTAAAATTCCTATCTTCGTAATTTTTAAAATTTCTGTAGAATTTTTAAATAAAATTTTATTTGTACATGATTTGTATATTTATACGAATATTTATATGAATATTATGGCATCAATCAAAAATTATATAATAAATGGGCTTTTTTAAGTCTATAGAATTTTAAAAACATTTTAAAAATTCAAATAAATTTGAATATATATAAACAGCACAAACAATAATTAGTAAATTACTTTTAATTAAAAATTTTTAATAATTTTTAAATTATAGTGTGAAAATACACTATTTGATTCCTTCAAGAGTTATACTTTTATTAGTCTAATTTCAATCTAAAAAATAATCTAAAAAATTTTAGCTCAAAGCTTAATAGATTTAATATCAACCTTCCAACAGTCATATTGAAAATTAAGAGACTTTTTTTCTCGAATAATTTCTTATAAAATAAAATAGAGAGTAATTTAAAGATAGAACGTTTATTTATTTTTCCGCATAGAAAGTTATGTTTATCGATTCGACTTGGCAACGCGTTCCAATTCGTCTTTCTTCTTAATCGCGTAAGAATTCGATGAACCTTTAGCAGCATTGATAAGTTCATCGGCTAAACATTCGCCGATCGTTTTGATGTTGCGGAATGCGGCTTCTCTCGCGCCAGTACACAGCAACCAAATGGCTTGATTAACACGACGTAATGGAGATACGTCCACGGCTTGTCTTCTTACAGTACCAGCGCGTCCAATACGCGTAGAATCTTCCCTTGGCCCAGAATTGATGATAGCTGTGACAAGAACCTGAAATATAAAGGTTCCACATTAAATGTTTGACATGCAATGATGTTTCAATATCATATAATATAATTGTAAATTTGAATTTCTTTTTATAAAGTGAGAAAGAAAATTAAGAAAAAAAACAATTTCTTATATAATAAACTTTCAAATCAAATTTGTTAAAATAATGTAAAAAATGTAAAATGTTTTTTGAAGTATTTGATATAGAATTATTCATATATAAAAGATCAAATATATGTAAGCTAGTTTTAAATAAATAATATATAAACCAATTTTAAATGAGTTATTCAACTCACTTGCAAAGGATTCTCTCCAGTGAGAAGGTGAATGATTTCAAAGGCATGTTTAACAATTCGCACAGCCATCAATTTCTTTCCGTTGTTTCTACCATGCATCATAAGAGAATTTGTAAGACGTTCCACAATGGGACACTGAGCTTTTCGAAAACGCTTTGCTGCGTAACGTCCCGCTGAATGTGGAAGATACTTTGCATTCTTCTCTTTGACAGCGATATAATCCTGTAGAGACATATCATTTACTTGCACATCGTCACAATTCCAGCGTCCGAACAATTTGATCTCGGGTAGTTCGGCCGGCATGGCTACTGGCAATGTGTTTGTGGTTGCCACCACCATATCGTCAAATGCTTCTTTGTCGTCCATTGTTTATCTGTAAAAGAAAATTATGTTATTAATATTTTCTAATTTACTTTTGTAATAAAATATAAAATATATAAAAGTGAAATCACAATATAAAAACATAAAAATAAATGAAAATAAATAAAATTAAAATACACATTAAACTGATCATTTTGAAAACCGCATGATAACTTATCATAAATATGTTTATCGCAATATAGTGAGCAAACATACTTTAGGATAGAACAAAAATTGTAACAAAAATAAAGAGATTCATGATAAATAATGAAGATAATGGAAATCGAAACATAATGATAAAAAGATATATTTATATTTTTGAGAGCAAAGGTAGTGGCGCTTCGTTTGGCATTATGAGACAGTTCGATGCTAAAACAGAGATAGATGATATGATATGATTTTCGTGCCGTGGCAAGTCGATCGTAGGCCAGGTAATGCATTCTAGCTTAAGTTTCTCAATGAAAGAGAGTCTGACGGGAAGGAAACTGCTGAAACACATGTGGCCACGCGGTCACACGTGCCGCGTGAGTTTTTCGCGCGAAATGCCGCACATGTTCTCGCACCTGCACAATCACTCACGGCTCCTGGCTGCCTCCGATTATTCGACAACGCCGACTTGCACTTCCTCGGCACAAAATTCTCCCGGCGTAACGACAATTCTTATTCTGCAACTTACGTTCACGTCTTCGTCTGTGCAGCCGTGAACAGGAAAAGACCATAGCAGCACGAGTGCCATCTACCCATGCCGGATTTTGATTACGTTAGTCAACGTTCGCGCGTAGAAACGAGGATACGAGGGTCGAAGTGACACTCTGGTGAAGATTTCGTGCCTCCAATAATCATGCGCGTAAATATAATGTGAATAACACGATAATCTGAGATCAAAGTGACGGTGATACGAATAAATAGTTGGAAAGCATACGATTGCTGATTTGACTATCTAGTATAAGTCTTCTTTTTGTATAGTTGTACAGTGGTACTTTCTACGTTTAAAATCAAATAGGTATGTAATTAAAACGAAACGACTTCCTTCGAAAAGGAAGAGAGGACATTATAATAGTCAGAAAAGATAGATTTTTAGTGAAACCGAAATCGCGATAGATCGACTGGCCTTCTTTCGATAGATCGTTTCGTAAAAACGCGTAGATGTTTTATGGATTTGGACGATGTATTATGATAAATGTAACAAAGCGTGAGAAAATTTATGAAAATTATATCAAAGTATATATAAATATAAATCGGGAAATGATAAAACTTTTGACTTTTTCGCAAAAAAAGTACGCGAGTGCAAGTGATATGTATGTGTGTGACGTTATCGACTGGACTTATCGATGAAGGAATAGTGGAACGATATTCGAGAACTTGACAGCTGATGTCGCCACCGATATGTTTTCTGCATCATCGAAAGTTCATTGCAAAGGTCAGTTTTCGATATATATGTTTTTATATGATTCTCTTTATATTAAAATATTATTTTACATTAGTATTTTTATTAATTACGTACATCTAAATATATTCGTTGATATATAAAGAGAGAGAAATGAGATATTTTTATTTTCAATAAGAGGATTGGATACATATCAAAGTTGAAAAGGAGTATACATATATCCTCTGGCGTGTATCCTCTGAAGCGTAAAATTTCAAATTGCATTTTTTCGCAAAGCCACTATCGTGATCGTTATATTTTCAAGAACAATCGAAGCGAATCTAGACAATGGAGAGTCGAAAAAAAAAGGGAATTGTTCGTAAATTGCAAATCGGTTAATCCCTCGATAATCTAGGTCAACACGTTAAATCGCCATATTCATAGTGGCATGTATCCGAAACAATCACAGTCGTAATAATCTGTTATTTCATAGGCAGTCCCTGTCGTCGACAAGGGGCCCGTAGAAAGCGTACACAGAGAGGGTCATGGCGAGTGAATAGGGTTGAAATCGTGCTCGCCGGGCGAACGTAAAGCAGAAAGAGATAGATAAATGAATAGATAGAGAGAGAGAGAAAGAAAGAGAGAGAGTGAGTAGGAGGAGGTCGGAGGGGAGAGAGAAGATGAGAGGGCTCAAGGGGACGGTCGGGCGAGCAACCGTACGGTATGAGAAATTTACGATCCAACGTCCGGATTGCTAACCCATCTCGGGTTCCACTTTATTACTTTAAGTAAGATCCGACGTGGAAGCAGTAAAACTCGTATATGAACGAATCGCCGTCGACGAGCTTCGACGCGCGTAAATATCTAATGGTTCATGTTGGCGGTGGCTGTGTATCGCGAAAACGTGAAAACCATCGTCGTCGCTTATAAACGGTTCCGTGATTCGCTTCCAGAAATCGCTCCCGACTATACGTTCTGCATTTAAAGCTGATATTACACTTGTCATACGACAAATATTTTAAGCGTATTGATTAGATATAAAATAAAAAATTTCTAAAGAAATTTCTAAAGAAATTTCCTATCCCACAGCAAATTAATATGCCTTAAAAATTTGACAAATGTAATATCAGCCTAAGATTAGTTTTTTAAAATAAATTTTTTATTTAGCTATTTGTAATTTTCAAAATTTGTAAAATAATTTAAAAATAAGTATCTTTAAAATCTTGCATTCATAATCCAGTATTTAATAGATAATAATAATTATTATTGAATATAAATAACATAGAAAATATTTGGATTCATAATCGAGCTTAGCAGAACAATAATCATTGCTGAATATATAAATTGTGTAGAAAATATTCGCCGAGGAATGTTGAATTTTCTGCCAAAGAAAAAAAAAGGACAGAAGAGGAGCTGTAATTTTTATATTTTTTATATAATAGTTTTAATAATTTATTATAAATTGACAGAAGAGGAGCTGTAATTTTTATATTTTTACATAATAGTTTTAATAATTTAATCTCTACTTAAAATCATGTGATTATTTCAGAATCAGTGTGATTAGTTATTGCATTTAATAAATGAAATAGCGTGATGAAAGAAAGAGAGAGAGAGAGAGAGAGAGAGAGAAAGAAGAAAACATAGCTAGACGGTAGCGGTAAATCTTATGGAAATGAATTCAGCAATGTAAAACGTTTCGTTATAAAACGCATTTGTCCGATCTCTAACTCCCATTTATAACGAGGGTGTCTTCTGTGTCTCCGCTAATTGGAAACATCGCTTCTATGGACAGACTACGACGAGGACGACGATGATGACGACGACGACGACGGTGACGACGGGTATCTTTATCGTCGAAAAAGCGGTCATGGTGAAAGAGCGCGTGGAACGCGAAAAAAAATTGCGATAGCTACCCGTTGACGAGCAGCTACGCTGCGAGCGCGGTCCATTTCGCCCCCGTTCTCTCGCCCCATTGTCTTCTTCATTACGTAGATATCCCGCGCGAATATAAACGCAATTAAGCGCGTCGCGTCATCGTTAAAGCCCCGTAATTGCATTCGCGTAAAAGCAATTACGACTTCACCGACAGCGATGAGTCGACCGCTTCTCTCTCTCTCTCTCCCTTTCACCCTCCCTCTCTCTCTCTCTCTCTTTCTCTCTGGTCCACCATTAGCATAAATAGTTTATAAACCAACGTATGGCACTTTATGCACGACATCGCTCACTATGCGATGGTCTCTTTAGCGAGAAGGGTACATCTATCGAATTTTGCCAATAACATACCCTCGGATTTTGGAATTGCGAAATAAATTGACCGTGTTACTCTTCGATTTTTCATTATTGAATATCACGCGGATCTCTCCCACAATTATCTGCTCAAAAGTGTAACAAAAAATTCTAAAATAATTAGTTGAAAGCAATTATTAACGATTTAATATTTGCTACATTATTTTGTATCGATTCTTCAGTACAATAGATGAATGTAAGAATTAAAAATAGATTGTTTTCATTAGTATGATCAATCGCAATCACTTAAATTATCACTAAATTCACGGGACTCCTATTAAATATAATTTATACACGCTTAGTGCATTATGTTTCGGGTTACTCCTGATGAAATTAGCCAACAAAGGATTACGTCCCAGAATTCACAGATTTGTTGGCCAACAAAGCTCACCGACATTAACCGGCTTGTCAGCGAGCAACCCGTTTACATCGCCGTTACAATAGTTGTCTACGAAAGAATCGTCGGCGTAAACGCGCTTTAAGAATGTCCCCGCCGGGGCATTATTGCACTTTACTCTATGAGCGTCTGCCGCTTCTCCAAGTCGACTTCTCGTGTTCTCTCATTCTCTGCCTTCCCATTCTTATTCTTCCTCCTTCTTCGTTCGTTGTTCTCCCTTCGTCGGCAGGGGGTGAAGCGGCGAATCCCGCGCCGAGGAACCCCGCTGAGGCGAGTTACGTTATATTCTGCGGCTCGTAGCCTCATATCGTATTATTGTCATGTTCCCTCGACACGAGGGGAGCGTCAGCAAGAGGGAGAGAGAATGAGAGAGAGAGAGAAAGAGAATACAAAGAGAGCAGAACAAACGACAGAAAAGAGCTCCTAACACACCATCCGTTGTATTCGCCGGTGTTGGTGTCTGCACATGCACGTTGAAACCGCTCGCTCGTGCGAGATAAATCGAAATACATCCTCGAGATCTCGCATACGCTGTTATTTCCCGGTAGCTCTCCGCGCTCTCGCAGCTTCCTTCTTCCAATCCGGAGCGGAGAGGTGTCGCACATAAACACGCATACACATACACACGTGTGTACACCTCACTTGTCGCCGTTGTAATGGAACAATCTTTCCGCCACAGTTCGCTCCCCGCTCGACAGCGCGTCGCGGTAAATAGCGCGCATGCAACCGAGATGCATTCGTTCCGCGACACGCGGCGACTTTTTATTTTCCTCGTCGACTCGACGGCTCGGATCGGAGGCGATAACCGGCGAAACGCAAATCGATCTTCAAATAAGTACAACATTTTAAAAAAAATCGAGACAAAAGCTTTCAAATCGACAAATAAATCGTATCCGTATTATTTATCATGTATGCAGATGCATCAGTTGAAGTTAAAATAATTAAGATAATACTCGAGGGCTTAAAGTAGATTTATCTCCAGAAAAAGCCGGTTAACTAATATTACGTACTGCGCGCATAAGTCTTAATGAATCTTAATGATGTTGCTGCGAGGAAGAGAGCTCTCGCCGTTTACATTGGTAATAAACGCCTAAAGCCATTCGCGGATTGTCCATTTGCGATTGCTTTAGTCGGGAGTTTAATACCGCACGATAATTATGTTTCTCGGCAATACTCACTCGCGATAATTTCACCCGTGGAGTATCAACGTCGATCCCTCGGTCTTAAGCGCGTTGCGACGTGTAACGCCTAATTGGTTAATTATCTCCCCTGGTGGAGTCTCCTCCGTCCGAGGCGAAAAGGTTAATTATCGTGACAAGAGATCGAGGCATCGATTATGCGCACAGAACAGGCTAAATGAATTAGCACTTTGAGACGTCGTGGATTATGGCTTGATCGAGCGCATCGTAAGGATCCTTGAGATTCCGGATTCCATCGCTTGATATCGAGGCTCGGGCTCATCGCGTCTACCATTCATCGAAATTCCTCGCGCTATCAAAAAATATATATCGCAAATTTTTGTTCTGAAAATTTATCCCGCTGACAATTGTTTCTTATTTTGTTCTTACTATCAAATTTATTATTAAAAATCGACGAGTACTTGAAGTAATTTTATCAACTTAGTAAATTTCTTATCAAAATCAATTATTTTTAAATTACGTACATAACTTTCCCATTTTAATTTTCCTTTCGTACCGAAAAAA